GCCATTTAGATATCAATCCTACTGATCTATTCCACTGCCGATATCTGCGAGACTCAATGGTGTGTGTGTGTTTTGTAATAGTTTTGACGGTGTTACATCCTTTCTTAAATCATATTTTAATGTGCATCGCCATTATTTTTATATTTAAAGGTTAATGATTTATGTCCATACCACATCGACCTACGATCTGATGTAAAATGGATTACGACACAATCTCTTTTTTGTGGGTTATTTGAAAGATTACGAAAATATCGTATTATGAGAGTAAGAATGGAAAAATCTTCTTTTGTTTTTTTTTGTCTATAGGATTTTTAATGTAGATTTCATAGAAAAGTAAAAAAAGTGGGTTTAAAAGAACATATCTCCGTTTAGACAACTAGATATTCGCAGAAACTTCTACAATCATTTGAACAAAACGTAGAAATACAATAATAAAATATTTTCACTGTTAAAATAGTGCTGAACAAAACATATATTAGATTATAAAATGAAAAAAATAACACAAAATTAACATAAGATAAAAATATAATAATCATAGATTACATATTCTAAGTTATAAAGAAAACTTACATTAATAATGTCTCTGGTAACTTTTCGAAGCAATTGTATTTTGTAGTTGGTATCTTTTGGAAGCAATTGGATGTTACTGATTTTGGTAACCTTTAGAAGCAATTGTATTTTGAAGTTGGTATATTTTAGAAGCAATTGTATTTTGTACTTGGTATCTTTTGGAAGCAATTGTATTTTGTAGTTGGTATCTTTTGGAAGCAATTGGATGTTACTGATTTTGGTAACCTTTAGAAGCAATTGTATTTTGAAGTTGGTATATTTTAGAAGCAATTGTATTTTGTACTTGGTATCTTTTGGAAGCAATTGTATTTTGTAGTTGGTATCTTTTGGAAGCAATTGGATGTTACTGATTTTGGTAACCTTTAGAAGCAATTGTATTTTGTACTTGGTATCTTTTGGAAGCAATTGTATTTTGTACTTGGTATCTTTTGGAAGCAATTGTATGTTACTGATTTTGGTAACCTTTAGAAGCAATTGTATTTTGTACTTGGTATCTTTTGGAAGCAATTGGATGTTACTGATTTTGGTAACCTTTAGAAGCAATTGTATTTTGTAGTTGGTATCTTTTGGAAGCAATTGGATGTTACTGATTTTGGTAACCTTTAGAAGCAATTGTATTTTGTAGTTGGTATCTTTTGGAAGCAATTGGATGTTACTGATTTTGGTAACCTTTAGAAGCAATTGTATTTTGAAGTTGGTATATTTTAGAAGCAATTGTATTTTGTACTTGGTATCTTTTGGAAGCAATTGTATTTTGTAGTTGGTATCTTTTGGAAGCAATTGGATGTTACTGATTTTGGTAACCTTTAGAAGCAATTGTATTTTGAAGTTGGTATATTTTAGAAGCAATTGTATTTTGTACTTGGTATCTTTTGGAAGCAATTGTATTTTGTAGTTGGTATCTTTTGGAAGCAATTGGATGTTACTGATTTTGGTAACCTTTAGAAGCAATTGTATTTTGTACTTGGTATCTTTTGGAAGCAATTGGATGTTACCGATTTTGGTAACCTTTAGAAGCAATTGTATTTGAAGTTGGTATATTTTTTTTGAAGCAATTGGGTGTTATCGATTTTGGTAACCTTTAGAAGCAATTGTATTTGAAGTTAGTATATTTTGGAAGCTATTGGATGTTACCGATTTTGGTAACCTTTAGAAGCAATTGTATTTGAAGTTGGTATATTTTTTTTGAAGCAATTGGATGTTACCGATTTTGGTAACCCATGGAAGCAATTGAATTGTTATGTCTTTGGTAACTTATAGCTGAAATATTGAATTGTAAAATCTTTGGATGTAATTGAGTTTTAATATCTTTGGTTACGTATAGAAGCAACTGAAG